ATTAGACATATAACTGGACATCATGTAGGGCTTGCCTGCCTAATGGATGATGGGAATTCCCTTTTTCTCTATCAATTTCCTGTAGCACCAGAAAAGGGACATGTGAAAGACGTTCAGAAAAGAGCAGCAAAGTTATTAAGGAGCTGTGAGGTTGATTTATGAGGCACATTGTAAGAGCTAAGTACATGTGGCTTGGCTAAGCAATGACTGAATGAAAACACGATGAACGTCTGCAGGATAACTGAGAACACAATCACTGTGGAAAGAAGAGGAATGGAGTTCTCTTAGAGGTGATAACATCATAGTCAATAGTTGTTCCTTTTTTTTTAATATAAGGGACTTGTGCTTTATGTGTCAATTGACTACAGAAGTAAACATTAACTTTTTAAAATATTTTACAATACATGCATATGAATGAAAACAACTTAATATCTTATCTTTATTGCTGTTGTTTGCTGTCGAGTCGGCCCCGACTCATAGCGACCCCTCCTTGGGTTTCCGAGGCAGTATCACTACGGAAGTAGGATTGCCCAACCTTCCTTCCGAGGAGTGGCTGGTGGGTTTGAACTGCCTGCCTTCTGGTTAGCAGTCAAGTGCCTTAGCCACTATGCTACCAGAGCTCCCTTATCTTTATAAAACCTAGAAAATTTTCTAAACATATTCTAGTAGCAGTATTCGCTGGTAAGTAACAGTAATGTAAGCTAACAGCCTACCTGAAGACAGAAAGGAGGGAAAAGCACCTCTGGTACCACACCTGGGGTGAGGGAAGGAGAGAAGATGGAGAAAGAAGGGGAAAGTGAATTGGCCAACGTCCTTGCCTCTTATAACCTCGTGGAGCTGCCACATCGGTTGACAAGCAAGTCCAACAACTTAAAAAGAGTGTTTAATAAGTCTTCCTCTGACTTCAGCAGAGACCACACTGGCACACACTTTATTTCAAACAGGAGAAGATCACCATCCTATAACTATCCATTAGCCCCATAGTGCCAGCAAAGATTGAGAGAAGGTGGGTATCAAGGACAGATAGATGGTGACTGGTAGGACCAATCTAACCTCAGTGAACACTGAGGAACAAGCAATCTGAAGATCTTCCTTCATCATCCATAGAGCAGTGATAGTTCAAAGGAAGGTTTGCAGTATCTCAAAAGGCCCAAGAATAGCTGCCAGAATGTCCACCCCTGAAGTAGAAGTGGGGGATGTTATGGTGAATATGACATGCTCCTTCCCCTAAAGAGGCTCCCAGGTAGGAAAAGGAGACAGACACAGAATAGACATATCATTATTATTCAACAGGTTAGACATAACAGTGATAAGCAGGGGATGCCAGGCTTGTACAGAGGATGAAAATCTACCCCAGCATGGAGGATTTAAAGAGAGGCTCCTTGGAGGAAACAAAACCTGACATAACATGGTGATCATCAACGGGCTTCACTTTCAATTTCCAATTGATCGGATGCAGAGATACTTATCTAGGCCATTTATAACAGATGATAGAGTGGATAATCATTGTTCCACCTGCCAACCTTGCTTTCTTCTGAAAGGATCATCCCTTTTTTCTTAGGGAACTTCTCTTCCTCCCGACTCCAATCATGTGGTGCTTTCTAATCCTCATACTGAATCCATTGATAGGTCTAGAATGAGCACATGCGATTTCTTTTCTAGAACCTTCCAGATTGGGTCTAAGGAAGAGGGACATTTCTTCTGTGGTGATAAGGTCATAATATAAGAGACTTGGAGTCGTTTAAGAAGAAGTTGGTCTGTGGGGGATAGACTAAGAGTGACACACAGAGAGAAGCACTGAGGATAGACGGGGAAACAGAGTTCAGAGCACTGAAGGCCCTGATCTTAGAAGCCTCTGAGACATGGATGCCCCATTTCCATTCTGCTACTGTGCAAAATACTGTAGCATTCTCCCAATAAAGCCCTTCTTCTCAAAACCAGTGGAAGTTCAGTTTTCGTCACTTGCAACCAAGTCCTGAGTAGCAGCTCACACTAGCAGCAACTTGTTGTTTTTTTTTTTTTTTTCACAGAGCAAATTCGTTTTCTATTCAACACCTCATACACATTTTGTTTTGTGAAAGTGTTTGCACTTCCCACAATGTAATAGCATCCTTCCCACTTCCTCTCTGTGTTTCCCATTTCCATCCCTCCTCCTTTCCTGTCCCTGCTGCCTTCTGAGCTTTGTCCCTGGGCAAATGCTGCCCTTTTGGTCTCAGATGGTTGATTGTTTCTAAGGATGGCATACCTCCCTGATGTAACTGTTCACCGTATAGGTCTATCTATTGTTTGACTGAAAGTTGATCCATGGGGTGGGATGGGGGGCTCACTTCCAGGCTTGAAGGGTGTCTAAAGACCATAATCCCAGGAATTACACCAGCCTCTATCAGACCTGTAAGCCTGGCCTCCTTTATGATATTGAATTTTGTTCTACGTTTTTCCCCCACTCTATCTAGAGCCTTCTACTGTGATCCTAACAGAGCATTCAGTAGTAGTAGCTAAGCACCATCCAGTTCCTCTAGTTTCAGGGTAGTAGATATTGAGGTTTGCATGGTCCATTGGTCCTTTGGACTAATTATTTCCTCATGTCTTTGATTTCCTTCACTCTTCTGTGCTCTGGACAGGTGAGATCAATAGCCGCATCTTAGATGGCTGTTCACAATTTAAGACTTCAGTCACTACTCACCAAGGTAAGATGGAGAATATCGCATTTGTGGACTATGTAATGTCAATTGACCTTGATTTTTCCCAAGTCTATGTCCAGTGACTTCTTGACATTTTGTCCTTTTCTTAAAGTTATGTAGCTCCTCTTATTCTTCCCCTTTCCAACGAGAGTCAGTGCAACCTCAACTACCAACGACTTCTTGTTCTGTCTTAGGCTAGTCATGCTGGGAAAGCTTGGCCAATACTCTTAGGTCTGCATTAACTATGCTTCTAATTAGCTCCATAACTGTTGTCGTTAGGTGCCGTCTCTGCCTCCTGGCAGCCTTATGTATGACCGAACAAATGCTGCCCGGCCCCGCACCATCTTCATGATCACTGGTGTGGCTGTCGTCATGGCTACAGTGTCACTCCATCTCATCAACCGGTCCCTTGTTTCTGCAGAACCTCTTCTTTACCAAACAGATCCACAAGCTGTTTCCCAAAAGCCATTCCTTATTTGAAGGTATATTAGACTGCTCTCTAGCAAGAGCCATTAGAGAATCCAAATAAGTAGCTATGGGGTGGGGCCTAGAAATCTGTATTGGAATATATATATTTATATTTATATTTATTGATTAATTGATTCTTTGTGCAGCCAGGTGGTGATGTAAATAGGCCAGAAGACCTATAAAACCCATCAACTAAAAAATATATGAGTGTCCTAGGCAATGGTTCAAATTAACTACTCAGCCTCTACCCAATTCCTGAATACTGTTCACCTTAAAGAAAGTGAAATTATTGGAGGCTTGAAAGTACATCAAGGTAGCTCCAAGCTGCTCACAGAACTATACTGAAGGGCCTGGAGGTGACTTCATCACCAGGGCAGGCAGCAGAGGCCAAGGTCTGGCCCCTTACACAAGCTGCCTTTGATTTTCCTCATGCTGGAGATGGGTGATGGAGAGGTAATTTATTCCTTTATAAAGTCTAGAGTTACATTACAGGGCTGTGTAATTTTTCCTATAAAGTGTCTTTCAAAAGCAGCTATCCTCTAAGGAGTTGGGCATAATTACCTCAGGGGCAGCAGTGAAGTTGAAATATGAGAGGAACTTTTGTTTTCTTTAATCCTTCAAGCAATGTCACCTTTGGAGACACAGCTCTCTCCTCTCATGAGAGGTGATTAGCATTTGTAGGCAGTCATTTTCTGAGAGTGGGTGCCAGGTGGGAGAGGGCATTGGTTGGCTGAAGGGGGAGCCAAGTAAAGTTCTTCACAACTTCCTTGATTAGCTGAGGTTTTGACAGTGGGTGAGCGGAAACCACTTAGAAAACTCTCAAGGACTCTTGGACGCTTAGATGTGCCGTTTCGCATGTAGCATGACGCACCAGATGTTTTAAGACTTTCCTCTACCAAGAAGGAACATTGGCATTCACCTTAGGCTCTTACATTTAAATTTTATCAGGTTTTATTTTTTCAATCAAACCTGTGGAATATGGGTTAAAGACTCAGAAAGACTTAGAAATATTTGGATACAAAGAGCTTTGGCATTTGGCCAATAGCATCCTCCATCCTGATTCCAAGGCAATGGTTGCGTTTGTTTTCCATCCTGACACTGGGCTTGTCCTCTCTTTCTCTCTGTCTCTCTCTGTCTCTGTCTCTGTGTGTATGTGTGTGTGTGTGTGTTTCCTCCTTTTTCCTCCATCCTTCTCTCCTAGCCTCTCTCCCTTCCCTCTTTTAATCTCTCTTAATATTTCTCGTTCTCTCTCTCTCTCAACACATTCAATGAGTGACCTAAATGGTGACAAACTTGCATGTGCTTCCCTTATGACTACACTCCTGGGCCTGTCGCCAAACCCGCACAGATGGCCCCAAACTCCAGGCGTCCCGTGAAGAGAGCCCCACGGTTCCCAGCTCGGGTGGGAACCTCCTGGGCGGAGTAGTGTGATGGGGAGTGGCGATATCTTTGTCCTGGGGGAAGGCAAAGCCGCTTCCAGGAGGAAACGGGCGTTTCCTTCCCACGCGCTCGAGCGGGCCCTGGGGCTCGGCCCCGGGACTCCACCCAGCCCCTCCCGGAGCTCTGGGAAAAGCCAGTCGCCACACACAGGCACACACAGGCCCCGGCGCCGCGCCCTAAGGAGAGCAGCACCCACGGCCAATTGCCATGGCAACCCCGGGGCTTGTTCCACTTCCCCACCCAGCCGATCCCCCTCCTCCCGACGCCGCAGCCAACCGGCTTGTGCGCGTCCCTAGAGCGCTCTATAAAACTTGCGCGGACAGAGTGGCGACTAGGAACCCGGGGACGACGGGCAGCGACACGAAAGCTTAGAAAGTCATTTCAGTAAGAGCGGCAGGAAAACTCCCGAGCATGCAGAGCGGGCAGAGCCTGGGCCTCCGCCTGCGAAAGCAGCGCCTCTGCCTGGTCTTCTTGCTGCTGCACCTCCTGGGCCAGGTAAGTGGCGCGCACCTAAGGCGCCCTGGTTACTTCGCCCGCCCTGGGCGGCCCCTGCTCGATCCCTGGGCTCGTCGGCCCTCACCTGTCCCGACTGAGGGGTTTCTCCTTCTTCTCTCGCCCGCCCCCAGGTCACTTTGGCTGAGCACTGCCCCTCACCCTGCCCGGGCCGGTGCCCCGCGACGCCGCCGTCCTGCGCCCCCGGGGTCCCCGCGGTGCTGGACGGCTGCTCCTGCTGCCTGGTGTGCGCCCGCCAGCGCGGCGAGAGCTGCTCCGAGCTGGAGCCGTGCGAGGAGAGCAGCGGCCTCTACTGCGACCGCAGCGCCGACCCTCGCGCCAAAAGTGGCATCTGCATGGGTAATCCAGCCCCCTGGACGCTTGACCTCCTCTCCCCGGCCGGCTGCAGCTGCCGCTCTTGTCTGTCCTCTATCCCCCACTTCCCAGAGAGTGCTGAGCAATAACACTTAGGATGATGCAGTAGGTGATGTTGATGAAGCCAGGCACGGTCTGGGGGCGCTTAGGGCTTTGGGGAATGCCAGGAGCCAGAGAGGAAACCTGCCCAAGGAGGTGAGAAGCCATCCTCACTTGCTTCCCTAGAGAAGAACCTAGATAGATGCGGAGCAAAGCCGAGTGAAGGGCCAGTGAAGTCATTTCCTTTGGACATTTCCAGGGACACACTTGGGGGTGATGGAAATGTGGGCTTAGTCATACCCCACAGCACACAACTGCAGTCCAGCAGCTTGTTTTCACACCTGTAATGTTGTCTTTGAGCCAAAGCAGCCCCTAGTCTCCTAGGACAACTGTGTAATGCTTGTCCAAGTGGCAGTGAGTAAAATGAAAGGTAGACGACTGGCCGGTCCAGGCTCATGAAACGTAAGTGATGAGGTCAGTTTTCCACCTGGTTTACCATCTGTGGCATGAAGCTGTCCCTGCCTCTCTGCATACAGGGCTTGGAAAAGCCCTTTACTTTTTAATCTAAGGCAGTGATGATTTACTCTGCTTGAATGCCAAGGAAACCCAATGCCCTTCCCAATTTGGCCACTTAACCTGTTTGAAGAATATGAAGTGCATTTATTTTTTCCTTTTTAATTCAAGCTTCTGGAGTAGAAGGACCTTCAAAGTTTCTTGCAAAATGACTTGGTTACTGGCAGCTATAGTTACATGGCCTTGTGTGTATCACTTCATCACCTGTAAAATGAGAACCCGGTCAGGATGGTCTTGAAGGTTTCTTCTTGTTCCAAAGAACCTGCATGAATCTATCTCTCTTCTAGAGATGGATAGGAAACCAGATCACAGGAACTAGAAAAGAACACCACAGGGACTGAACATTTCTGTTAAATCTTACCTAACTTTTCCCATGCATCCTATCCTGTTTTTCTTCCTGCCCTTTCTTCTGTCCTCTGCTTTCCCAATATCCTAGTGCTAGAAGGAGACAACTGTGTATTCGATGGAGTCATTTACCGCAGTGGAGAGACCTTCCAGCCGAGTTGCAAATACCAGTGCACCTGCAGAGATGGGCAGATTGGCTGTGTGCCCCGCTGCAACCACGACCTGCTCCTGCCCCGGCCTGACTGCCCAGCTCCAAGAAAAGTTGAGGTGCCCGGGGAGTGCTGTGAAAAATGGATCTGTGACCCCGATGATGAGGGGGGATTGGGAGGCCTCGCCCTACCAGGTGAGAAGTTCCATGGACCTGGGAATGGTCACAGCACAGGACCTTCACCTGCAGGCTAAAATGTAGGCAGGAAGCATGAGGGCCATTTTGGATTTGAGTGAGAAAACTGGCCTTGGTTGTTGGCCATTCAGTTGTAGAATGCACATTGCTCACTGGGAACAAACCCATAGTATCTTTTAATCCAATAAGTTACTGAAGTACACACACAAGTTCTTCGAAAGTTTTCGTTGTTATTAGTTGCTGTCCAGTTGCTGGGACTCATGGCAACCTTATGTATAAGAGAATGAAACACTGCCTGGTGCTACATCCTCCTCCTTAGGGTCGGTGTGTTTGAGTTCATTGATTTGGCTATTTCTTCTAAAGACAACTTGCCTTTGAGCAGTGAAACTGAATCTGCCTTATTGAATGACCACGGTTTGTTTTTTTCATTAACCTGACTTGACTCATATGAATATTACAAAAATAACAGTAAAGACTACACTTTAATTTGTGGACTGCTTATACTACCCATGTCCTCTCAAAACCAGCCCCCTGAAGAATGTTCCTCATCCCTGGACAGGTATCACAGAGAAATGTCACTTCTCCTATGCTGCAGAAAAGGGTCAAGTGTTTTTGTTTTATATTATAAAGGAAATATTTTTTTGGGAAAAAACAAACCCTTAGGAGTTGATCTATCATTTAGAAGCCATTGACCTGCCAGCTCATTTACCTTGTCAGTATAGTGAGTTCAGTGCCTGGGCAGCACGAACAGTTGAACATCCAGCTATTAACCAAAAGGTTGGTGGTTAGAATCCACCCAGAGGTGCCTCTGAAGAAAGGCCTGGTGATTGGCTCGAAGATCACAGCCCTTGAAAACCAAGAGCACAGTTATGCTCTGATTCGCATGGGGTCACCATGAGTCGGAACTGACTCCAGGGCAACTGGATTGTTTTTCAGTCTTTTGGTTATGTGAGTTTTATAGAATTTCTGCTATCCAAAGTTATCAGGCAGGCCTTACAGATAGGGAAAACTATTCCTTGTGGATGGGGAGATAGTCCCAAGCCATGTGTGTTGTCACAACAGCACTTTTAGTAATCAAAATCCAAGTCTCTGTATCCCGTGGCCAAAACAACTACTTTCACCTCCCAAAAGCAAAGTGTGGCTTTCACCAATATTTGAACAGGCATATCTGTCTGACTCAACCATTGGTCTCCAACCTGGATTATAGTGTGCTTGAGAAATAATTGCTGATTAATAAATGAATGGTAATCTGTGAATTCATTTCAGTGTTTCTAAAGGCATAGTGGAAATACTACATTTGCCATTATTATTAATTTAATAATTAATAATTATTAATTTAATAAGATTAAAATATTACTATCTGCATTAATGTAGAAAATTATATACTGAAAACACTAGTTTAAAGGCCAGTTTTTGACGCTCTAGTGTCCTCTGTTCTTAAAACCACTAAACTTCTTAAAGACAAGTTCTTATAAGCTTCTTAATGATACATGGAACAGTCACTGTATAGAGATTTCTTGAAGGCCTACAGTGTGTCAGTATGTGCCCCCTGTTGCTGTTGTTGTTAATTGCTGTCAAGTCAGCTCTCACTCACGGTGGCCCCATGAAAAGAGAACAAAACACTGCCCAGTTCTGCACCAGCTCATGATGATTCATATGCTCAAATCCATTGTTGAAGCCACTGGGTATTTTGAGTGCCTTCCAACATGGAAGGCTCATCTTCCAGCACTATATTGGGCAATATGCTTTTGGGATTCATAGTTTTCATTGGCTAATTTTCAGAAGTACATCACCAGGTCTTTCTTTCCAGTCTATCTTAGTTTAGAAGCTCTTCTGAAGCCTGTCCACCATGAGTGACCCCACTGGTCTGTGGAATACTGGTGGCATAACTTCCAGCATCTTAACAACACTAAAGCCACCACAGTGGGACAAACTGGCAGACAGAGGTTGGCCACTTTTTAGGGGTTAATAAATAAAGAGACATCGATCTGCACCCTGGCAGCACCAGAGTTTAGTAGATGAACAATTAGATAAGACTCTCTTTCTAGTGATGATTAAAAGGACCACTTTGTGATTTCTATGTTTTATTCAAGATGGCTGTCTTAATTTATATATCCCATAGCCTATAGACCAGAAGCCACCCTAGGAGTTGAAGTCTCTGACTCGAGTATCAACTGCATTGAACAGACTACAGAATGGAGTGCATGTTCCAGGAGCTGCGGCATGGGCTTCTCCACTCGTGTCACCAACAGGAATCAGCAATGTGAGATGGTTAAGCAGACTCAACTGTGCATGGTGCGGCCCTGTGAACAAGATCCTGAGCAACCAACAGATAAGGTAGGAAGCCCGGAGAAGCCCACCATCACACAGGGCATGGTCTTGCGTCATTGGAGCCTGGGCTTCAGAAAGTCACTGTGACTTTTTTCAGAGGTCAACTGTAGCTGGGAGTTCACCCCAGAAAGAAGGCAGAGGGTTTTCGGATCCAACCTGAGCAAATTCACACCTTGTTTTCTCTTTAATGTATTGAAATGTGCCAAATAACTCATTCACACATTGTTTTCTCTTTAATGTATTGAAAGGTGCCAAATAACTCACAGCTATTCCTTAAGTCAAGAGAGAGGATCCATATACTATAGTACTTTACCCAGTTCACAACTCTCTGGCAATCCCCATTCCATTCCTGGAGAAAATTGGCTGCAAAGTCACTAAGGATAAATGATTTTAGAAGGTTCAGTTCTGACCTGAGTTTCCCTCACCCCTCAGGGTTCAATCTGTAGAAAGCAACAGTGTCTAGTCCATGTCTGTCTGACTCAACCATTGGTCTCCAACCTGGTTTATAGTGTTCTTGGGAAATGATTGCTGATGAATAAATGAATGGTAATCTGTGAATTCATTTCAGTATTTTTAAAGGCATAGTGGAAATACTACATTTGCCAGTATAAAGCAATATGGGCCAAATGAAACAGCATGTTTCTTTCCTTGTTAGCTGGAATTATATCAACTCTGTATTAACACTAAGTATAAGGCATGCAGATCAGAAGCTCTGATTGGTTCTTGATGACATCACAGACCTTGTTACCAGAACCCTATGTCAGATAAATGCAACACCCAAATTGAACTGTTATATGTACCCTTATACGAGCCTAAGGCCAAAATAAAACAGTCCCTAGAAGTGAAGGGTTTACATATCTCTAGACTGAGGCAATGTCATCTAATGCTTAAGGGTGCAAACTCTGGAGCCAGACAGGCTGACTTCAAATCCTGGCTTTCCATGTGGACTGGATGGTTGTTCTTGGGCAACATTCTTAAGCTCTCAGCCTCAATTCCATCCCCTGTGTAAAAGGCCTATTGATAGTACCTACCAACTCAGCAGCACCTAACAACGACAACAACAACAACTTCAAGGATGTCATGAGGATTAAATGGAATAAATTTGCAAAGTGCTGGGCATGTGCAAGCACTTATTGACCCTACCCAGCATTGCTTAAAATTTCTATTTATTAGTAAAATAAAAGGGGCTTCTAGTACTTGCACTTTTAGATGACTGCTTAGCTGTAAAACTTTTGGAGGTCTATCCTAACTATACTTCTTCTGTATGCAGAAACACCTTGTCCCTAAATTTATACCCTAAAGGCTGCACCTCCCCACACTTAGGGGACTTACACATGTAACACAGTTCACTTGTACAAGCAGTCATATACACACGCTTCTCGACATACATGGACACCCACAGACTTGTTGGCCTTGTGCCTTTTTGTGGTGTTTGCTAGAATATAAGCTGAACATTAAATATGAAAACAAAGAAACAAGAACCCCTTCAATATTTTTTAACTTGTTTATTAAATCAAGTTTTTCCTTCTCATGCCTCTAAAATGTGGTTTTGTTTTTTTTCTATTATTCTTTCCTTGTAGTTTGCACCCAGTGTAATATTGGAAAATACTGCATTTTATGTATTTATTTGTAGTATGTGGAACCCAGGGAAGTAAGAGGAAAATAGTCATTCTTCCTTACCTCCAGGAAATTCTTATAATCTGGGACAGTGGTTCTCACAGTGTGGTCCCCAGACCAGAAGTATCACTGAAGAACTTGTTAGAAATGAAAATTCTTATTGCCCACACTGAATCAGAAGCTCTGGGTGTAGGGCCCAGCAATCTGTTTACTTATTTATTTTTAACCAAGCCTGTAGATGATTCTAATGGACACTAAAGTTTGAGAACCACTTCTACAAGAGAATTCTAATTCTAATCATCCCTACAAGTTATGGGCTGTGCCTGGGAAGATGAAGGACAGTGGAGAATTGTGGCAATTTAGTAGATGAAGAAACACACAGTTATTTCCTTCCCGAATTATCAATATTGGATTTCCTCATTAACCATTATTAGTAGAATCTTGAATAAATTCTATACTTTCTTTGCCTTCATGGAGAATAACCTTAATTCCCACTGTCTTGGAATTTCCTGTGGTCATAGCTTGAGTTTTACAGTCAAACAAATTCACATAGTAAAGTTTTCTGATCCTTTTAGCCTTTTGAGCTTCTTTTTCTTCATTTATAAAATGTGGGCAGTCGTACCATCCATTGCACTAAGATGCCCCTCCTATGTGCCCCTCTTTGTACCTCTGACCTCACACTCACTGCTTAGTGTCATGATCTGCTTGTATTTCCTCTTACCCCACTAAATCTGCATGATTTCAGAACAGGGATTTTGCTTTCTTTTATCTTCAGCACCTGGTACTGGGCCCCCGCATGGTAATTGTTCTTGCATGAGTGAAGGTTGTTAATAAGGATTAAGTGGGTTCACATCAGAAAGTGTTTGAAGCAATGTAGGCTTGCAACAATGCCAGGCATATTCCCTTTCTCTGTATAACACCTAAGAATACACTGGGCTAAAAATAACACCAAAGCCTGTTAGAGTAGTTTTAAAAAATGATAGTTTTCTTATCATACATACACCTTCACCTTCATGCTTGTCACCTCAAGGTCAAAAGAAAGTTGTGGCACTACTACTTAATGTGGTCACAGTAGGTATGTTGTTCACATTCCAGCCAGAAAAGAGAACAGATACAAGAAGCAAAAGAGGGCTTGTGGGGAAGACAAAGGATTTCCAAGAATCCCATAGATTATGTTTCATAGCCCATACTTTGTCACAAGGCCATTCCAAGCTCCCATCTATTATAGGAAAATAAATACTTTTAACTGAGCACATGTCCCAAACAAAGTTTACATTCTGTTGACAAAGAAGAGGAGCAGGGGCTCTTGGACAGGCAGCTAGCAGGCTATTGTATACTCCTTAAAAGATTCCTCAAGGAACTCTGGTGGCATAGTGGGTATGGCGTTTGGCTGCTAACTAGAAGTTGGCAGTTCAAACCCACCAGCTGCTCCTTGGGAGAAGGATGAGGCAATCTACTTCCATAAAGATTTATAACCTTGGAAACCCAATGGGGCTCTCTATGAGCCAGAATCAACCCAATGGCAGTGGCTGGGTTAAAATGATTCCTCAGAGGAATGGTACCCATTCCAGGCATGACTCCTGTTCTTCTGTCTTAGAAAGGAAAAAAGTGCCTCCGCACCAAGAAGTCACTCAAAGCCATCCACCTACAGTTCAAGAATTGCACCAGCCTACATACCTACAAGCCCAAGTTCTGTGGGGTCTGCAGCGATGGCCGGTGCTGTACCCCACACAACACCAAAACCATCCAGGTAGAGTTCCAGTGCTCCCCAGGGCAAATTGTCAAGAAACCAGTGATGGTCATCGGAACCTGTGCCTGTCACACCAACTGTCCTCAGAACAATGAGGCCTTCCTCCAGGAGCTGGAGCCCAATGCCAGTAGTGGAGAAATATAATAATTGTCCTGGAGAAGCTCACCTACAGAGGCCAAGTATAGCTACTGCATGACCCACCACCAAGTGAATATAAGAAAAATAATGAGTAATTATTTCACCCCTGAGTCCTGTGTATCATATTTTCAACAGTCATGTCAGGTCATTTATACCAGCTTTGTTGTGTTGTTTTTCTGATCAAAGATATGATTAACTAAACTTTGAATGAAGGTAAGCTCAGGATATGGCTTAGGGATGATTACTTTTCGGTGGTGCTTTTTACAGATGCAAATGTCTATGAATTTATGAAATTATATATGTTTTACTTATAGAATATATCACATTACCTTCATCTTATATTGTGTAGACTAGTGCAGCTTCTCGAAGGCACCTAACAACAGTAGCAGTGCCATTCCAAGAAAATGTCACTGTAATGAATGACACAGGGGAGTCCAAGATTTGAGGGTTCTTGGTTGAGATCCCATTATGGGGTCTTCAACTCTGAACTTTCCAGTTCAACATCTGAGGTAATGTAGAGCTCTTCAAGTTGAAATCCAGAGACTAGTCTGTGTCTTTTTGTACACTAGGAATTATACTGTATCTACAGTAATGAAATGTTTGTTGATTAAGTGGACTGGTGTCAAAACCTACAAAACTAACTCCCTTCCAGTAGAGCGAGGGTAATAAAACTCTCCTTCATGCAGAGATGACTAGGCCTAGCATTTGTCTGTCCTGGAGGCTGCTGAGGCCACTTGCTTTTGAATCCAGAAAAAGCAGAGCATACCAGCGGGAATCCTCTTGTGTTACTGACAAGAAAACTGAGGCCCAAACTGAAAACTGAAATGAATCAAAGTCTTAACCCCTCATGACTTTCAAATGTGCTTTTAGTGGTTTTGAATAAGAACAAAATCGGTTATTGGGATGCAGCTACCACAGATTTTATGGGAGCTTAGAATCATCATGATGTGCCCCAAATTTATCTTTGGACCATAATTATGAAAACTCACAAACAAGATATATGTGTTCAGAAACATATATCTAATTTGTCAGGATACAAGATAGGGTACAAAATTTACATCTGTACATTTCTCTGTCATCATTAAAGTATTTATGTAAATTAAGTTGTACATTTTGTAAAATATTCTTTTTCATTTCTGTACTTGTCAGACAGAACTAAATAAACATGATCTTATCAGTGCGTGACTCAGCTATGATTTTGTGCTTCTAAGTTTAGCATTATTATTTATTGAAAATTAAAATTAAAACTTTGGATTCAATCACATACCAATCCATGGTCAAGACCTCAAATACCTGCACATTGCTGATGCTCAAATGAACATTCTGACCCTGATAGTTTTCCTGGGTAGCCTGCTACCAGTTGCCAGCAGGTTGACCCCCACTCATGGTGACCCTCTGTGTCCGAGTAGAATCAATGCCTGATTTTTCAGATGTACATCATCAGATCTTTCTTCTGAGGCACCTCTGGTTGGACACAATCCTCCAGTTTTTCAGTCAGTAGCCAAGTGTATTAACAGTTTACACCTCCTGGGGACATATATAATGAAGAATGAAGTTTTCTGGCCAAGAACAAACTTACCTTCCTGGTTTCCTTATCTATTTAAAGGGCTCTCCATTCTTCCAATCTTCCAGTTTAAAGTATCAGCCTTATCTTGATCAGCCTTCTCTTGCTACATGGCCAGAAAAGGTTTATTCTAGGGATGATACAAGACAGAGCAGGGCTGCCATCTGAGCAGTTAAAACTAAAAAACTCACTGCTGTCTGGCTGGATCTGACTCATAGAGGCCCCTCCTTGGGTTTCTGAGGCAGTATCACTATGGAAGCAGATTGTCCAACCTTCCTTCCGAGGAGTGGCTGGTGGGTTTGAACCACCAGCCTTCTGGTTAGCAGTCAAATGCCTTAGGCACTATGCTAAGAGATCCTTCTGATCAGTTAGTGAGTCAGAATTAATACAAATTTTGCTTAGCAGTTTCTACCTGATTCAGTGTGAATCTAAAGTTCTTTCAAAATTTGTCTTGGTTCTCTAGTGCTGCTTTAACAGAAATACCACAAGTGGATGGCTTCAACAAATGGAAATTTATTCTCTTACAGTTTAGGAGCCTAGAAGTCTGAATTCAGAGTACGGCTCTAGGAGAAGGCTAGGCTAGATGGCCAACTTCAGATTGCCGGTTCTAGGGGCTGAGTGGAGGCCTCTCAGCCTTGGGCTTCAGCTCTGCCTTCCAGACCCACTGGAGCAAGCTGGAGGCTTCTCCTGACTCACAGAGCTGCTGACTGCTGAGGTTGACGAATCCAAGACTGGCAGGTAAAATGGCAGATTGTTGGCTCATAGACTGTGAAGACAACAATCCTGAGATCAGTAGGCAGCACAGCAGGCCACTGTTTCAAGCCCAGGAACCAGAGATGAAGACGAAACCAAATGCAGGATCCTTTCTATGTAAATTGGAAGCAGGCCACACCCCAAAGGCAACTCTCCTTCAACTGATTAGCTGCTCACAGCAGATTCCACTATGGAAGTGATTACACCACATCCAATCCCATCATGGGGAATAACTACATCCAGTTGCCAAGCCACTCAAAATCACAGCTCAGCCAATTTGACACACAACCTCAACAACCACAGAATTAAAAAAGAAAAATGTTTCCTGTTCCCAACTTCATTCCATTTAGCTGTCCTTTAAAACAGACTGGAAAGCAAATTTTACTCCTAGGAGTTTATTCCAAGGAAATTCTTCAGGCCAGCTCACATTTTTCACATACTGTGTGCTGAGCACTCTAACCACAGTATATAGTTTAATTCACACAGTAGCCCTACAGAGTAGGCACTTTTCATGTTTCTACTCTACAAACAAGGAAATTATTTTTTAAAAAAAAAAGTTAAAAGAAACAGTGGATCTCAAAGTCAAAGTCCTTTTGCTTCTACTTTAAGCAACCCTATGGGTCCTCTGGTGGCATAGTGCCTAAGGCACTTGACTTCTAACCAGAAGGCTGGCAGTTCAAACCCACCAGCCACTCCTTGGAAGGAAGGTTGGGCAATCTACTTCTGTAGAGATACTGCCTCAGAAACCCAAGGAGGGGTCACTATGTGTTAGGTCTGACTCGATGGCAAACAACAACAACATGAGTCCAGGCAAAGATTACCTAGGTACAAAGCTATTCAACTCAGTGTTGTTCATAATTGCAAAATACTGTAACCATTCAAAGATCCAATATAGATTGGCTAAATAAATCACAGTACAGCCACTGTGATGAAAAAAAAGCAATCATTAAAGTGAAAACACAAGAGAATATTTACCAAAAAGAGAGAAAAGTGTAGAACTATGAATAGAGTAATTGGGATTTGCTCAAAAATATCTGGGAGAGAATGTGCAACAAAAAAGTAATGATTATTTCATATTGGTCTCACTTTTTGTGCATCATTTCTTTACCAATTTTTCTTTACCAAGAGTATAAAAGAAACAAACTCACTGCCATTGAGTTAATTCCGACTCATAGTCACCCTTTTTGGGTTTCTGAGGTGGTAAATCTTTATGGAAGTAGATTGCCCAGTCTTCCTTCCATGGAGTGGCTGGTAGGTTTGAACCACCAAACTTCTGGTTAGTAGTTAAGTCCCTTAGGCACTATGCCACCAGAGCCCCTCACTGAGACTATACAACCTTTATAAACAGGAAGAAAAGGTAAGTAAGAATTCAGCTGTCCTTTCAAGAATGCTTCTGCTCCTACCCCTACTCAGTCATACTAAATTAGCTTCCCCTTCCAGCATTCAAAATGTTTCATTCATTCATTCATTCATTCATTCATTTTGTTCATTCAGCAGATATGTACCCACTGCTGCTGTCTACCCAGCCTTGGTTTAAGCTCTGGGAATACAGCTGTGGATAAAACAAGGCACTTGTTCTCCCTGAAATTTACACTCTGTTGGCAAAAGCAGGCAGAAAGCAATAAACAAGCAAAGAAGATAAATATCAGTGGTGATAAGCAAACTCTATGAAGATCATCAAACAGAGTAATATAATAGAAATTTTCTGGGTCGTTCATTTAACTTGAGGTACTGGGAAAGTCCTTCCCAGGAAGGTGACATTTCAGCTTAAATCCAAATGACAAAGATTAGGAGAAAGAATCTTCCAGGCTCAGGTGGGGGTGGGGGCATCAAGAATAAGCTTGGCTCACTGGACCTCAGTGTGGCTGCAGGGCATGTGTGAAGGGAGAAGGGAGGTGATGAACTTGCAGGGGCTGGAGCATGATGATGCTCCTCCATGGTAGTAGTTCTCACACTATTTTACAACTGTTTCTGTAGACCTCCATTACACAAAGACTCTTGAGGTCAGTGTCTAAGTCTTCTTTGTGGCTTTATACCTGCCACAGTACCTGGCAGTTGGTAGGAACTAACTCTATACCTGTCAAATGAAGGAAGAAATGGACTGGGCATTAATAAAGAATCTAGAATTTTCTTTGAAATAAATGTTATGCTTTTAAACTATCCATTTAACTCTGGGAGCAATCCCCCACCCTCCAACATACCCAAGCACACTCATGCATTCCTGAAATTACAATTAAAGGAAGCTGAAAAAATGTGATCTGATGCATAAATATTTGCCAAGTCCAGAACTTTCTGTAATTCAGCAAGGAAAGTAACATTTACTGAGTAGTTTAGAGCTGAGGAAAAAGCAGAGGCTTTAGAGTTATTCAAAATTGGTCTTAAACCAGAAAATCTAGTTGGTGTCCAGCTACCAGTGCCAACCACTCGGTAAGGGATCAAAATTGGAGATCCTGGAGTGAGTGGGAGAAAAATGTGGAACAACACTCAAAGTCATGAAAAAAAAGACCAAGCTTACTGGTCTGATAGGGACTTGTGAAACCCCTGACACTATAGCCCCGAGTCACCCTTCAGACCTAGAATTGAACTTCCTCCCATGGCTTAACTCTCAGCCAAGCAATAGATAGGCCTACACCCGGGAGTTGCCCTCCTTAGAACAGTCAACCCTGGGTGATCAGAAGGGCAGCATTTG